ACGCTACCTTTTGAGCCTCCTGAAAAAAGAAACGAAAGAATGCCACCACAAACCGAATCCCTAGACTCGAAGTGAGACGTCCGGAACCTAAGCCTGAAACCTCAGCCTATAGTCCCCCTAAAGCAGATAGAATATGGCTTTGGGTATACTATAATAAGATCCCCATATACCCCACATTTTATCTACTTAAGTGAGGCCATAACCCTAAACCTAAACCCCATATACCCTAGACCCTATATACCCCATATTCTAACTACTTAAGGGGGACGAAAAACTCAAGTCAAGGGGCTCGCTGCCCGACAAGCTCAACTCCTTCTTCAGGGTCACCATGGGGAACTTGCCGCCCTCGCAGGGCTGGATATATAGGGGTTTATATAGGGGCTTTAAAAGGTTTTATATAGGGCTTCATAGGGTTTTCATAGGGGTTATATAGGGGATTTAAGGTCTAGGGCCAGTAAGAAAAGGCTTTCTGGATATATTGAGCTAGAGTTGGATAATGGCTTTCAGGGAGAGATATGGGCAAGTATTCAAGATTCGATCTACACTTGAGGCTTCAGAAGAATCTGGGTATCGTTTCATGGAAATCAGTACATATGGGCATGAAAACAAGCCCCCAGCCAACCGTTGTTACCTGAACAGCCCTCATCATAGTTTTCTTCTTTATCGTTGTACTGCATTCATAAATAGCTGGCGATTAAGTAATATATCAATACTGGAACGCTTGGCGCACAAACACGCTGTGATAAAAGACGGTAAGACCAGCTTACTGGTTCCAAGCAGGGCATAATAATAAGGGAACATAACAGCTATATAACATTATTTGTTATGTTCCCATCTCTTGGATAAGTTTGGGGGCCCTATGAAATCATTCTTCTGACCTTATAAGGATTATATAAGGGTTAAAGGGTAGTACAAGTTGAACATATCTTCAAACCAACCCCTGATATTCCCTACGAATAACCAGTAAGCCAGGCAGCCCCTTCAAGATTAATCCTCAACCCTAAACCCTACAAACCCTAAACCCTAAACACCAAAGCCGGACACTGGTTGACAGGCTTAGCTTGTTGCAATCACTTCCTTGAGGTTAGTACAGAAAAAGGAATGTTATATTATGAGGAATATATAGGGGCTATATAGGGATGACGTAGGGATTCTATAGGGGCTATGTGGGGATTATGTAGATATTAATATTATGTAGGGCTTATATAGGAATTATGTAGGGATCACATTCCCTTATTCCCTACTAAGCACCAGTAAGATCAAGTTGTTAATTCAAATCCTTTCTTTTTGCATTTTCTTACCATCTTACAGGGGATGGCAGACCTGTCGCAACTTGCGGGCCCTTTCTCCAGACCCTAAACCCTAGACCCTAAACCCTCCTGTAGTGGGGGTTACTAATGCATCCCCGCATGGGGCAGGGCTGATACAGGCAAGCTGTAGTGAGTCATAGCGACTCAGGAAAGTACCTTATTTTCTAGCCTTCTGAGTAGGAGCTCAAGGTAAGTCCAGGGTTCTAGGATGCTAAATATTCGTTTTGGAAGCCTGCAAAGAAGATTTCGAACAACCTCAACCGTTTCCATAAGCCAAAACCACCAGAATTCACGGCCTTCTTCTGGATGAGCTTCACCTGCTGCTGCTGTGCGAGAGTGGAGCTTGAGATTTAGAACTTGAGGAAGCTTTTGCGGAACATTCGATTGGAGGTTTGTGGATTTGGGGTCTCAGTCAGGTTTCCGCATTTGCATACTCGCCTCCAAGCTAATGCAGCACTGTCCGTCTGAAAGGGACCTCCGCGGGTTTCGCATCCTAGGTCTTGGGAAGATAGGCTTCACCCTGAAGTGAACCAGGAGTTTGGTGCCAGCAGGATAGACAGCGACGAGGTTTAGGGCTTTTAGGGAGTATAAGGTTTGGGGTTTAGGACTTTCAGTGAGTAGGAGCAGATGTCACGGCCCCTTCACGATCTTGTTGTGCGGCGTAGTGTTCATTTGAAATGAGACCTTGTCATTTCCAACATCAAGCAGGCGGCCATGTCCACTCAAGTCCCACTGTGTCTGCAACCTGTCCCGTAGTAGCTTCGGCCTTTTTTCATATAGCAACGCAGCTTCTTACAATGGCTGTCATAAAGCTGAATGATGTTAACAAACGTCCAAACACCAGAGCGCAACTACGCTCTCAGCAGGGTTAGTACGGAGTGAGGGAAGATAATCCCTGTATGATGTAATTAGTCCCTCTCCCCTACTGAACCCCGGTAAGTTACTCCGTTGTACCCCCGAGGAACAAAACCTCCTGCTATGAAAAAATAACTCTACTCGAGCACCTGGACCTGTACAGCTACATAATCAAGAACCCTCGCTGCAACTTCAGCTGCTCAAATGAAGATAAACGCCGTATGACAAGAATGAAAAACAAAGGTACTACATATAGGTTTACGGAGGTCAGGATTTCCGTGAAAGCGAATCCGGCCTTGAGGAAGGGCAGGCCCTTGTCAGAGGGCTCGTAACCTCAATGTAAGCTCACCGTTTTACAGGCCGAACCCTAAACCCTAAACCCAATCTAAGCCATTATAGTAGCTTCCATGTTCTTTTCCATGATCCCTATATAACCCCTATATACATAACCCCTATATAACCCCTACATACCCCCATGTACCCAACTCTCAGCATGGATCCTGGGATGCTCCCCAAGCTTGTAGCCTAGAGGCGCTAAACACGTATGTGCATGTATCAGGTAGGACATGAGAAGTCCTCAAGAACAGGGTTTAAGGTATAGGGATTTAGGGGTTTAGGATTTAGAGGTTTAGGGTGTAGGGTCCCCAGTAACCCCTTAATGATACGGGTGCCCAGGAAAATATTCAGCTTTAATACGGAGACCCGAAATAAAAAGGGAAAAAGGGCACTACTGGGGTAGCTAGTAGAGGAACTTGCAACGTGCTCACAGAAATCCTGTTTAACCGTATATCCAAGTGCTGTAGTTGCCCGCTCTGCAGTCTCAAAGTCGGATTATGGGCGCATTCTACTTCGAATCTGTGTGGCCCACACCTGGCTTCCATCACGTCAAGCACTCTCAATTTAAGGTGTCTGTGGACCTACATTATGTAGACCCGATGGAACGTGCCCCTACCATTCTTTGAATAATACTTCCAGCGACGTGGTATCCGGCACATAGTCCGTGTAGCGGCTGCAAAATGAATAAACACCCCACATCCTGTCCCTTCGAGAGCTGAATTAAATAACAGCTGTTCCAACTTGTTGGAGCTGCAGCATTACCCTGCCTAAGATGTTGATTAAGTTTGTAATCGATCAGCCGTCGTGCCTCGACTGTCAGGAGAACCGTATTTGAGATTGATACGCATATTTTCCTGAAATCAGGGGTGCCTTATTGGAGGTCCTTGTAATAAGGAATATACTATCTGGGGGTCTACATTGGGGTCCCACCATTTTGGGAAGTATGCCCTGACTCCATGGCTTTGAGGTATCCGGGCCCTTGGGGTCACAGGTCCCTAAGCTGACTGGGATGCCGTGCGAAGCACGACGTCCGCGTTGGCCTCGGCACGCAGAGAGGCTTAATCTCTAATTCTTCATGCTTGAATAGATACCCTAGAGCTGTGGATATCTTGTCTCATGCTTAAACAGTTACCCTAGAGCTGTGGATATCTTGTCCCATGCATATGATCAGGCAACAGAAGGCAAACGATTGCGAATCGTTCGGGATTCTGCGTCATTATGAAGCCTGCGAAGAAGGCTACGGAAGAGCTATGTCCAAGAAGCAGTTGACCATGACTGCAAGATGCTACTGCTTGGATGTTTGTAGGTAGCTACAACTGGGGCTGTGAGTGCCATACTTTCAGACAGAGTTCCTGAATCTCATCTGACTTGTTGAGCTCTTCCTTTGACTACGAGTTCCGGGTGCCGAGTACCTATGATCCTCCTGGGCAACATGCTTCGGATTCAGCCCAAGACAACGCTAGATAGACCTGTCAGCTTGCCTAATCCCACAGTACGCCTCTTTGCCTTCCGTGATGCTCAGAACGAAAACTTGGGTCCCGCTAAGAACCACGGGTTATCTTTCATAGGGACTACGCGGCCATAAGGCTACCCATGTGGGCTATGTAGGATATCTTTTTGAGAAATTCCTATGTGCTGTCCTTGAAGCTTCCTGCTGCCTCGCTCCTCTTTACTGCAGTGACAACTGTGTATAGGTTCATGGCCCTTCATACAAAATACCTACTCTCACCAGGCAACATGGTCACTTCCTTTATGATTGGAGCCAGTGAGAGCCCGCACAGATGAGATGCGGGTTGGCCGGCACCCCATCTGTAGAATTATTGGCCCAAAGGGATTCCATCTGGCTCATAGGGCATGCTCTCGCCATGAGGAAACCCCTGATTTCCACGCGTAAGTATCTGCCCGCGGGCGCAGGCGACGGTGTGTGCAAGCCCTCTTAAGGAGCCAAAGCCTATACAAGCAGTTGGTACAGCGCAGTATGCCCTGCATTGGGTATGCTCTATGCGCTACCAACCTTAAACCCACAGTTGTGAGCTTCCTGCAATTTTGCCAGAGCTTCTACTTGTACAGGTAAACCAAAATCCCTGAACCCTAGGCCCTAAACCCCAAACCTTGCGCCCCAAAGCCCAACCCCTAAGCCCAAAACTCCAAACCCTTATATTCCCCTTTAAGTAGATAGAATATTGGGTAAATTGGGATCTTATTACAATATACACAAAGACATAGTCTATCTACTTAAAGGGGACTATAACCCTAAACCCTAAACCCTAAAACCCTAAACCCTAAACCTAGCCGCAAGCCTTAAGCCCTTGTGCCTTCTGGGGATCCACGTACTTGGAGAAGTCTGGGAGACGCTTCTCGATGTCCTCACGGACCTCCGTGGAAGATGGGACGGTTGCTTGGGGTTTAGGGTTTAGGATTTAGGGTTTAGGGTTTAGGAGGGACGGTTGCGGACTTAGGGAACGGCCTGCAGTAGTACTACAAGGCTAAGCCAGACCCTCCTTTGTCGGTCCTTTTCGGGTAGTATAGTATAATCCCTTACCAACATAACAGACCCCAAAAAGGGACTACATAGGAGCCTTTGAGTAGACACTTGATAACTACGTGGCACTTAGGACTCCTACTAAGGGTTAACCCTTCATTCCCTATAATAGGAATATAAGGGAATGCCAAAGGGTTAAGGGTCTAAGGTCCAAGCTAAATCCCAAGGAGATAACTACATGGATTTGCGAACTCAGTGAGAGTAATATGCCGGGTATGGATGTGGAGGCTATACATGTACGTAAAGAAGGCTTACATACGCTTTTCCTGTGTGGTACCTCCACTCCTCCAACTTGCCACATCATTAGCTGGAGGGTGGGCTCAGGGCTTAGAAGTTTGGACTTAGAGTTCCTGCGGAAGCTGCTCAAAATGTTCATCTTCAGGAGTCAATCACAACTCCTCGATGATCCCGGTAACCCCATGTAGAATCCTCACACCTGTCCCCAACCTCATGAGCCACAAATTGTGGGCCTTCTGTTCAACCCTGCCGAGAATTCTGTCGGCGACGTCTTGGCCCTCAGAATATATGGACATATGGTATGGACGTCTGTCTTGTACATGGTATATGTGTACGTATACAGAAAGACCTGACTGAGCGACTGAGCGAGAGAGGAGAGGGAGAGCGAGAAACACACATGCCCACACACAGAGAATGAGCTTATGTTCAAGGTGTGAAACCGCAATCGACGTACCTAAGCTCTCACCCCTTCACCTAAGTCCCAAGACTGACCCAATCCCTAAATCCTAGCCCTTACTCCCTGAGATGGTGTCCAAACTATCGGCCCTTTCCAGGTACTAACGGTAGCACTCAACCTCACACTTGGGGGGGGTGCGGAATGGAATGACCTTTTTATAAAGTTGCACCTGCTCCTCAGTCCAGCCACGCTCGGCAACGTCGCGCTGCACCTGCTACGCTGCACGCTTACGCTGAAGGTAGGCAGGTGCCATCCAGGCTTCGGATCTGAATTGTTCCACAATACAGCAGCAGTGGTTTCTTGGGTTGTTGTATGGGCAATGTCAGTATGCACACCTCCCATTCTGAATGTTTCTGTCAAGCTGCATGGTTGTTCGACAGCCGCATATGACCTGCTTTCTGCTCGCTTACCTCAGCCTTTTGACAAACTGTGGTACCTCCGAAGCGGCTGCGTAACTTTGAGAAATCTCTTTTGGGAGACGGCCACTTCAGGAAACACGCGAGGCCACAAGTGTCAGTCTAGGAGGGAGTTTACAGTTTAATGTCTCAACATATAGTCCCCCTTACGTAAATAGAATATGGCTTTGGGTATATTGTACTAAGATCCCATATACCCCATATTCTATCTACTTTAAGGGGACTATAACCCCTAAACCCTAAATACCCTGAACCATAAACAGTAGTTTCCATTTTCTTTTCCATTATCCCAGTATAGCCCCAATATAACCCCTATATCTACTAAAGGGGGGCTATAACCCTAAACCCTAAACCCTATATAACCTGAACCCTAGATAATACCCCATATTCTATCTACTCAAAGGGGACTATAGCCCTAAACCCTAAACCCTATATTCTATCTACTTAAGGGGGACGGGGACAATAGTTGTAAGGGTCCAAGTACCTAATAATCATATACTTACCCAAAACCTGTACTAGAATTACTATTACCCTAAACCCAGGTACCCAAGTATGGGGGACATGGACCCTAAACCCAAAACCCCCATATATCCCCTATACATCCCTATATATCCCCTTTAAAAGGGACCTAATTATTGGGTACTTGGACCCTCTGGGATTGTTGTAGCAGACCCATCGTTGCCTTCCAGGCAAACTTCACATCGTTCCTTGTGTCGCAGGGATCGTGTGCTTCTGGCTGAAATCACCAAGGGGACAAACTGCAAGCATAATATAGGGTTTACGGATTAGGGTTTAGGATTTAGGGTTTTGGGTTTAATGCAGCTCGTGATTTCAAAGCACGGGACTAGAGGCAGGAAGCTTAGCAATCGGGTGAGAGGGCGCAGTCACTGGAGACAAAGATCCCCAGGAGGATCCAACATTTAGATCCCTTGTGGAAGCCACAAACGGCCTCCGCACAATACCCCATATGAGCTATAGTCTAAACTCCCAGCATCCCCCTTCATGACCCCTATAGTAGCTATAGTGGTCCCCTATATAATCCGATATATAACACCCTCTAAGGAATTTAGACTATAGCTCATAGAATCCTCAAGGACCAGGAGAAGTAAGTAAACCCCAAACTGTCTATATGCTAAACCCTCTAGACCCTAAAGCCTCGAAACCCTGCAAACCTTGAACCCCATAGGCCCCCCCTGAACCCCGAAAGTAGGCAAAATAATAGCCCCCAAACCCCTAAAAACAGCCCAAGAGGCTATCATTCGACATACTTTTGGGTTCAGGTACCACCCTACACCCTAAATCCTAAACCCTGAATCCTAAACCCTAAACCCTAAACCCTCTACCCTAAACCCTACATAATTTTGAGGTTCAGGTACAACTCTGCTGCCGAAAGTCACAATGTCGATGTAGATAGCCAGGTCGAGCTGGGCGCGAGCCTGCAGCGAACTAGGAGATAAGGGTATAGGGTATAGGGTTCAGGGTATAGGGTTTAGGGTAGAGGGCCTAGGGTACAGGGTTTAGAGTAGAGGGTTTAGAGAAGACGGTATAGGGTGTAGGGTTGAGGGTAAAGGGTTTGGGGTAGAGGGCTTAGGGTAGAGGGCTTAGGGTATAGGTTTTGGGGTAGAGGGTTTAGGGTAGAGGGTTTAGAGTAGAGGGTTTAGAGTAGACGGTATAGGGTGTAGGGTTAAGGGTAAAGGATTTGGGGTAGAGTCCTGGAGGGCTTATAGTAGAGGGTTTAGAGTAGACGGTATAGGGTGTAGGGTTGAGGGTAGAGGGTTTGGGGTAGAGGGCTTAGGGTAGAGGGTTTAGAGTAGAGGGTTTAGAGTAAACGGTTTAAAGTAGACGGTTTAGGGTAGAGGGTTCAGGGTAGAGGGTTCAGGGCAGAGGGTTTGGGGTTTATGGTAGAAGGTTTAGTGTATAGGGCTTCAGGTTTATGGTATGGGGTTAAGAGTTTACTGGGTTGTTGTTAAGGGATTTATTTTGAAGTGCTAGATTAAGGGAACCATATTACATGTTATATGCTCATTATGCTTATTTGCAGCATATGAGCCGCAGTCAATATTTCCTACATAATTTGATGGACATGGGGTCCTTATTCGATACAATATTATGGATCATACTAAACTATAAGAGGGACCCCCATGTCCACTACTAAGTGTTCCTTAGTACTGGGGCTCATACATACATATATATATATATATCGCTCTCCCAGGTGCAGGTGCATAACCCAAACAGGAAGTGATAAATGTCCGGTTCAATTCTGCTGTTGGGGCCCTTTAATGTTGCGGTCTGCGTTTTGGGAGTATGCTTGTGCTAAATATTCCCTCTTTATTATCTAGAACCGTATCTCATGACATTACTTTTTGGGTTGCATTATGTATTCTGATTCCTTGCCTACTGTGTAAGTTTAGGTTCATGGCGTTTTAGTGTCTCTAGAGTAGTACAAGAGTTTAGGGTTAGAGGCTTTGCGTTTTAGAGTCTGGGGCTTGTGTTTTGAGGTTTAAGGGTGCTAGGGTCCGGTTTTGAGGTTCGAGTTTAAGGCTCAGGGGCCTTTATAGCTAAAGTAATCGAGAACCCACATGGGAAAGTCGATGGACAACTTGACCGAAGCCGGGATTTCATAGGGGTTGATAGGGGGATTGTAGGGGCCCAAATAGTTTCAATAGGATTCCCTAAACCTTAAACCCTAAACATACCCTAAACCCTAAATACTACGGTGATTTACGGATTTTGGGCCCTTTTTAGGTAGAGTTGGGGCTCCTTGGCGATCCTGAACGGGTTTGAGTATACTGAAATCCAAGAGCTGTGTCCAGCGATGACCTATAGTCCCCCCTCAAGTAGATAGAATATGAGGTATATGGGGATCTTAGCAAAATATTCCAAAGCCTCTATCTACTTAAGGGGGACTGTGGCTACAGCTTCAGGACGTAGGACGCTTAGGATGCAAGCTTTTGGGGATGGAACTTTTGGATTTCATAGGGTTTAGGGTTCAGGGGTTGTAGGTTTTGGATTTAAGGCTTCCTGTGGAAGGTTTAGGGTTCAAGATTTGGTTTGAGAAGATACTTGCAGGTGCCTGCACAACATCGACATTACGACCCCCGCTGTGTTTGAAACACACTCACATCAAATGCCTCAACCTTGAATGCTCAGCCCATAAGTTTTTTGAGCCTAAAACCCCTGCATAACTTTGGGGTCCCGGCCTTCTCTTTGAAAGTTGGGCCAACTAATCCTTGTAATGCCTGCCGGCCCCAAAATTCGTAACCCCTCAACCCTAAACCTAAACCCGTTGTCCCTATAAACAATGACCTCAAAATCCCCGCCTTCTCATCGTAGATAGGGTGCAGGCCCTCGAAGACCATCACCTTGTTGGGCTCGATCAGCTCAGGTGGGTCCTGCATTTCAAGCTGGGTATGGACGTAAGAGGTAGCAGGTAATGGGTGTTAGTAACCAACTTACGCAGAATGTGGAGACGTATTTAAGGCGTAAGGTAAAGAGCCAAGCGTCTCTTGGGCACAGGATTGGACATTACATTGAACCCTGAACCCTAAACGGGAGGATAGGCTAAGGCTGACAACCGATCCACATACATCAAGCCTGTTCTGTCATGCACTTCTCTATATTATGCGCGTACACATACCCACACACGAATTTAGGCACCCAGTGCCCTCCTCTGTCCCTCTCCTGCGGATGAAAGAAAAATGCACAGCCTCGCCAACACCCACTTCAACAGCATGCTTGTTAGGATTTCTGGCAGTTGCCCTAAATAGGTGCGAGGACCCTGATATGGACCCATAATATGATCCTTATTATAGTGCCCCCCAAAAGGTACCCCTAATTTTGGGAACCCCCCTTCTCTTGCAAACCAAGAACGGCCGCAATATGAAGTAGCCATCCGCCGAAGAATGCAGGGTGTCGAGGGTGGCAGCTGCACTTCCTGTAGTGGCCTCACAAACTGTAGTGACCTCAGAGCTACAATAAACCTCATGCTTTTGTTATTTTCTTAGGGTTATACTATAATCAAAACGAAAAACTAATATCTAAGGAGACTACAACAAAATCTGAGCCCTTCTTAAGGGGGTCCCGATGGCATCGCCTAATCTGTGGCTGGTTGATGCGGGGATCATGTTTTAACACGCATAAACAACACCGCAGAAATCCCAAGAACTTTTACTAATAATACTAAGAGTACTAATACTAATAGTAAGTAATAAGACTACTAATAGTCATAGTAGTCATAGTAGTAATACTGCTAGAAATCTCACAACATCCCTCCTTGTTGCCGGTGTCGTGGTTGTAGATGGGCTTGTAGACGGCCTTTCCTTGCTGGTTACGGGAATCTCTCAAAAGAAGGGACCGCTTGTGCACCCCAGCATAAAGGGATTAATGGGCAGCCCAAGCCGGGAACACCAGGAATATAGTAGGAATATAATAGGAATATAATTACCAGAACCATTAGAACCCTTGTAAATTCAGGATCCTTGGACAAGGAGCCTGACATCTTTGAAATCGTCTTCGTTTTCTTGCAGTGGGCTGGGAAGCCTTAACAGCTGAGGATCTTGCACTGAAACACAGTCTGTTCTGATCTTTTGCTAATCGCTTGCGCCAGTCAAGGCAGCGTCTACGAGGTTGGACACTTTCAAGATGTCCTTGCTCCGCAACAACCTTTTTCAATGACACTCAAACCGAGCAGATATCTACATTAAGTAGGTCGTCAATGTTGTGGCATTTTGGGGTGCCCCAAATATTAGGGGCCGTATTATGATCTGGACCCCAAAGGACCATTATTTTGACAACCCACCGTTGGGTGATGGTTATTTAACGGTTACTTTATGCTGCAGGGCCGGCAACCCCCTCCCCCCATCTTTTAGGAATTTGTGCTAGAGCCAACTTACTCTGCAAGCGTCTCAAGCTTCAGGCATTGAACTATTCATCTCACTGTAGTTTCCTTAGAACTATAATACAAGTACTATCTTTAATATTTCCTTGGGGTTATACTATACTGAAATTTACAAAACAGTTCAAAGAACAGTACAGCTAAGCCTTGGCATCTTTGAGGCTGTGACAACCTTTAACGCAGAAATGGCTGAGACTGGGGCTCTAAGCCCCAAACCCAAGACCTACTTTTGATGGAGGAAATCTTGCACAACCCTACATAGTCCCAACAATAGCAATCACAGTACTTTTGGGGATACTACGTAGTGCAAGATTTCCTCCATCCACTGCAGGAGCCCGAAAGCTGTTCGAGAGCTTCCTACCAGGTGCTTCATTCACCACTACTTGCGGGATCCCACGAATAAGGCTGTTCATCTACAGCCTGAAGCCGGGCGACAGCTGTACATAGGGTTGGTGCTCCACTTTTTGCATGACCCTTAAAACCCTGAACCTGTTGGAATTAGGTTAGTCAAGTCTACCAACGTCATGCAGGGTCTTGAATATCGACGATAGCTTTTCGTGAGTATCAAGTGAATCAGCCTACACCTTACACTGACGAACCCTTACAACCAACGAAGCTTCCTGAATATCCAAACCAACCTTTACCCGCACTTCAAAAGTAAGAAAATGATGGCCCGAAGCCACTAAACCTGATCTAAAGGCCATTATTCTATATGCTTCCGGGGCTTCAGGTAAGGCTAAAGCAGACACATCTCAACACCCGCAGTTCTCAGTCCAGCGTCCGGTCTTCAGAGCCTCCATCTGCACACCCATCAGGTCAAAATCGTTCCTTGCAAAAAGGGTTGATCATTTGATCATGTAGGGTTTGGAGTTGATGGCCGAGGAATTGGGGTCTAGGGAGGAGGATGCAGCACCTAATATTTTGAGCGCCAAGACGGGAACTATACTTCAGACACGTGAAAACGAGCTTGGTCATCATGCAAAAACAAGGGCCGGTTTTGAGAGACCAGGTTGTGAGGTTATGGTGCTAGGATTTAGGGACCCTAAACCCTTAAAGGGATGCCCGGGACAACAGAAAAAACAGAGGCGCCTGTTTAGACCAGGTAGCATCGGCTCACAACTCTGCAGTGCCCTGCCCCCTCTCAAAACAAGAAGCAAGTTCCCAGAGAGCCCCATACTCCTCAATTAAGGAATATACCCTAAATAGTACTAGCTATGTATTTCTTAATTCAGGGGTATTGGGCTCCCCGGGTTTGATCGCCAATCCAGCGATGTAGCGCGCAGATTCGAGCAAATGCGCCAGCTTCACGTTCAGAGTCCCGAGTGCTATGCTACTCGGGTCATGAATTTAACAAGTGTGAAAGACTTCCTACCCTTCATTTAGGCCTACGACCCACTATTAGGGGGCATGTAATCCCAATTGAGGGTACTAGGAAGGTCCTGGTTGATACAAATCAGTGGCCGCCCCATCTCTTCGATCACTATCGACTCTTTGGCCAGCATGTATCTGTGAATGCACCAACAAGAAAACTTTCATATGTCTCATGAAGAAATGCTCATGTACACGATCATCACGCCCTCAACAAACTTATATAACTACACAATAGAAAACACGCCCCAAACCACCCTCACTATTAGTACTAATATAATTCCACGTACTATCACTACCACCACTACTACTACTACTACTACTACTACGACGACGAAATTATCGCGTATTTGACGGTGCGTTTTTCTT